GAATTTGCAAGGCCAATGACTTCTTAAATGCAAATACCTTCTTTAAACAACATGAATGACATCTATACACATGGACCTCACCAGACAGAATACACAGAAATCAAACTGACTACATTTGTGGAAAGAGACAGTGGAAAAGCTCCATATCATCAGCCAAAACAAGGCAAGGGGGACTGTGGAGCAGATAATCAATTGCTCACATGCAAGTTTATGGTGAAGATGAAGAAAATTAAAGCCAAGTCCACAAGAGTCAAAATATGTACTTGAATACATGTCATATTAATTTAGAGATCATCTGAAGAACAGATTTGATGTATTAAACACTAAAGACCAAAGACCAGAAGAGATGTGGGATGACATCAAAAACATCATATAAGAAGAAACCAAATAGTCATTAAAAAGACAAGAAAGAAGGAAAAGACAAAAAATGGATATCAGAAGAGACTCTGAAATTTACTCTCCAGAATAGAGATATTAAAGTAAATGAAAGAAGTGAGGTGGTAAGAGAGCTGAATAGAAAATTTCAAAGGTCAGCTCGAGAAGATAAAGTCAAATATTATAATGAAATGTGGAGTTAGAAAAGCAAAAGGAAAGAACACACTCAGCATTTCATCAAGTTATGGGAACTAAAGAAAAAACTCAAGCTTCGATTTGCAATGCTGAAGGATTCTATGGACAAAATATTTAATTATGCAGAAAGCATTAAAAGAAGATGGAAGAAATAACACAGTTACTATCCCCAAAAGAAATGGCTGACATTCAATGCTTTCAAGGGATAGAATATGATCAAAAGCCAATGATACTGAAGGAAGAAGTCGAGCAAGTACTGAAGGTATTGGCAAAGTACAAGTCACTGGGAACTGATGGAATACAAATTAAAATCTTTCAACAAACTGATTCCGCACTAGGCCAAAAAATTTAGAAGACAACTATCAAGCCAACTGACTGGAAGAAATCCATATTTGTGTCCATTCCAAAGAGAGGTGACCAAAGGAATGCAGAAATCATCTGACAGTATCATTAATATCACATGCAAGTATAATTATGCTAAATATAATACAAAAACAGTGGCAAACTATACATTGACAGAGAACTTCCAAAGGTGCAAGCCAGATTCTGAAGAAGATATGGAATGAGGGATATCACATGATGTCACATGGATGTTAGCTGAAAGCAGAGCATAGCCAAAAGATGTTTACCTGTGCTTTATTGACACACAATGACTTTTGATTGTGTGGATCATGACAAGCTACGGACAACATTGAAGAGATTGAGTATTTTAGAACACTTAAATGTGCTCATGAGGGAACTGTACATAGGCCAAGAGGCAGTTGTTCGACCAGAACAAGGGAATACTGAATGGTTTAAAATTAAGAAAGGTGTGAGTCAAGGTTGTATTCTTTCACCGCACTTATTCAATCTATGGTGGTGGTGGTGGTGGTGATGATGTGCTGTGAAGTCGGTTCCGACTCATAGCGACCCTGTATAGGGCTTGTTCTACAGTGCCACACAAAGTTATTAATGAATCTTCCTCCAAACCTGATTCCCTATTCTTCTCTACAAGGTCCTCATTTAGCATACAGAGTGAATGAATATGGTGAAAGGAAACAATCCTGGTATTACTTTTCCTGAGTTTAAACCACACAGTATCCTCTTGTTTTGTTCCATCTGCTTCAAGACCTACGTACAGGTTCCACATGAGCATAATGAAGTGTTCTGGAATTCCCATTCTTCATAACGTTACCCATAATTTGTAATGATCCACACAGTTGAATGCCTTTGCATAATCTTTATCACATCCTTTGCTTTCAGCCAAGATCTATCTGACATCAATTATGATATTCCTTATTCCACATCCTCTTGAGTCCGTCTTTTGAATTTCTAGAAATTACCAGTCAATGAACTGCTATACCCAGTTTTTAATTACCTTCAGCAAATATGACTTTCTTATGATATTAATAATAGTATGCAATATTTTTTACATTCTGTTGGATGACCTTTCTTGGAATGGGCATGAATATGAACCTTATCTTCCAAATTTCCTGACATTGATAAGTGAACCCTTCTAATGTTTCACATCCTAAGTGGTATTCCATCAATTCTTGTTATTGTTGTTGTTAAGTGCCAACGATTCAGTTCTGACCCATAGCGACCTTGTATAGGGTTTCCGAGAAGCAGCTGGTGAGCTTGAACCGCCTACCTTGCAGTTCAAATGGCTTTGTAGTCTGGCACATTAACCCACAGCGCCACACCAGGACTCTGGAGCCTTGTTTTTTCACCAATGCCTTCAGTGCAGCTTCAACTTCTTTCTTCAGCATCATTCATTCTTGATTATATGATACTTCTTGAAATGACTGTTAACCAACTCTTTTTGATCCAGTGACTCTGTGTACTTCTATCTTCTTTTGATGCTTTTTGCATCAGCCAATATTTTATCCATGGAATCCTTCAATATTGCATTTCAAAGATTAAAGTTTTTTTATTCTGTTCTCGCATATTGAAAATTACCAAATGTGTTTTTATAGTTTGGTAATCTAGCTCCAGGTATTTGCACATTGCATTATAATACTTTACTTTGTCGTACCGAGCAGCTTGGAAATCTTTCAAATCTTCTGTTAAGCTCCATTACATCATCATTTCTTCCAATTGCTGTAGCTACTCTATGTTTAAGAGCAAGTTTCAGAGTCTTTCGGCACTGTATAAGACAATGCTTTACTTATAAGGGTTTCACCAGATACACATTTTAGAAGATCACATTTTTATAAGTAGATCATCACCCTTCTTTCTAGTCTACCTTAGTCTAGACGCTCTGCTGAAACATGTCTATCATGGGTAAGTCTGCTAGTATTTGAAATACCAGTGACATAGTTTCCAGCATCACAGCAACAGATAAAGAAACTGCTAAGTTGAGCGTTGTTCACTAGCACATAATAATTAAAACATAAATTTAGTAGTGATATCTTCCTCATTTAAAACAGCACTTTTAAATCCAGTTCCTTGTTCTGTTTCATTTGAAAGCTCAGTTAATGTCATTTGACCTTAACGATGAGGAAAAATTGACACTTCCACCAATTCAACAAAGTTACCACTAGATGGCGAGAAAACCTAAATTGTATCTGTTGTCAAAGCTAGTATCAGGTCCCAAGCACTTTTAACTAAACTTCCACCAGGTGTCAACCAAGAGGTAAAAAAGACTTTTTTTCCCATTCAACAAATACAGATTCATAATTTCAAGCAAAACAATGCAAACTCTATCAGAGATAAATGGCCTGCCAAATAGTTTGTATATCTATACTCTCTATATAATGTTGTTCTGTTCAAGAGATTACCTTAACTAAAATACAACAAAATTGTTCAGAAAAATCAAGATCAATGTTTAATTATGACTCATATACTCAATGTATCCAAATATAATGCACAAAATAGAATATTTAAATATGGACAATCAAAAGTCTTCCAAACTACTTGTGTATTTGCCGGTCTAAGTTTAGTCTGATATTTTTATAAGCAGTTCTGTTGATTGCCAATAGTCTAAATGAATTTATTCTGTTGCTTTGAATTCCAGTGTGATTTTATGAAAGCATAACTAATTTTTTACCAAGACATTTACAAAAAAGGGAGGAAAAGTGCATATGTTTTAAGATAGGAGAAACATTATGTTGAACAGATCAGTGCTCTCAACTGAAAATTAAAATCTTTCAGAATTAAGCCCTGTTTCGATATCAAATCATGCTTTTAAAGCCATTTTACATGCTACACTTATTTCTAACCAAGATTTTTCTAGTTTGTTGTAAACAATGTGTCAGCTAAACCCACTATGTCATGTTGCCTTTTATAAAGTGGCACTGTTTTAGGCCAAATTCTATTCTTACTCCTCTGGGCACAGAAGTCTTAATCATGGCATACCCTGCAAATCTAGTTAAGTAGTATTTTAAAAAGACTTTCCCCCCACCCCTTTCAAGGAAGTGGTCAAGCTTCCCACCCCCCACCCCCCAGCTCCACACCCCAGTGTCATAATGGAAACAACCTGGTGGTTTTTTGTTGCTATCTAATTAGGAGATGGGAGAGAAAGCAGTTTTGAGAAGAAAGCAAACCCTACCGAATAAATTATACTTGTTTTCTTCAAGGAGCCCTGGTTAGGCAATGGGTTAAGCGCTAAGTTGATAACTGCATGGTTCGAACCCACCAGGAAAAAGATGAAGCAGTCTGCTTGTTTACAGCCTCAGAAACCCTATGGGACAAGTAGAACTGCCCCATAGGGTCCCCATGAGTCAGAATCGACTGGACGGCAGATTTGCTTTCCTTTCTTGATCCTTTGGCCTCCACTGAGTTCATTTCCACCCTGCTTACAAAGTACTGGTTTATACACCAACAAACACCCTTCAAGTCAAAAATGCTCATGGCAATGAATAATTCTTGTCTGTTTTTTTATTACGTTTCTTTTGAAATTCATTAGCTTGTGCTCGGTAACCAGCCGCTTGCTCAACCGGTTTCACCCCTTCCTCCATCTCGCTTTACACACATCACTTTTCCTCCTCCCATCCAGGCAGCTGGCAAAACCCTGCAGTGCTGGTAACGCACGCTTTCGGCCGGTCACTCAGCAGTTTATCCTCAGCTGGCTTTGGAAACAGTTCCCCACCCAGCCCTTGTCCCCTAATGGCCCCCTCTGTCCTATCTTCGTATTACAGTGTACTCGGAAAGGGAACCGAGATAGCAAGTCGAAGGTTTACGGTAGCCTGCCTACCAATGGGAGCCCACAATGAAGAGAAGTCATGTTCAGCCTCCCAACAGCAGCAGTCTCCTTCCCCTAACTCGACACCTACAGTACCCGCGAGCGAGCAAGCTAGGGAGCGAGCGCGGCGCGGCGCGGCGCGGCGCGGGAGGGGGCGCGCAAGGAGGGCGGACAGCAGCCGCGGCGTGCGCGTGCGCACTGGGGTTGTTTTTCCACAAAGCTGCTCTTAAAGTGAGCTGGCAGGCTTCAGCCGCCCGTCTTTGTACCAAGACCACTGAGAAGAGCTGGATCGCGGAGCAGCAGCCCTACTGCTGCCCTGACTTTTTAAAAGAAATCTCAATGAACTATTTGTAAAGAATCTCTGATCCTGCCTGAAAGCTTTTTGCACGGCAAAAATCGATCAGTGTTAAGTGAAGATCACATTTTATATGCGATCTTGACTTTTTTTTCTGTCTTACATTATATTTTTATAAATTTTGTTATAAACATGGTGCTGGGAAAGGTTAAGAGTTTGACAATAAGCTTTGACTGTCTTAATGACAGCAATGTCCCTGTGTATTCTAGTGGGGATACAGTCTCAGGAAGGGTGAATTTAGAAGTTACTGGGGAAATCAGAGTAAAATCTCTTAAAATTCATGCAAGAGGACATGCGAAAGTACGATGGACTGAATCTAGAAACGCCGGCTCCAATACTGCCTATACACAGAATTACACTGAAGAAGTAGAATATTTCAACCATAAAGACATCTTAATTGGGCACGAAAGAGGTAAGTTTGTCTATTATCCAGAAGTCACTAAACCCGTTTTCTTTGGAACAGTAATTTTCATTTTGTTCTGAATTAATGTAACTGTATTTCTAAGTATAACACACAGCAGTTTGATTGAGGCTAACAAAGTTGGGAGATTTGGATTCTCCTTGACATTCATCGTCTATTATCCATAATGCATGCAGGCATCTGCAAAGTGACTGCAAACTACCTCTAGTACGCACTTGCAATCCATTTGCACCTTACTTAGAAATTCTGTTTAAATCCTATTAAATAATTTTACTAATATGTTTTCAAGTGAATTGCTTAAAAATGCAGCCCAATATTAGATTTTCTCCTTTTACATTACAGCCTTACCTCTAAAAACAGTTTCAATGAAGAAATGGAACGCTATTAAGTGGCTTAGTAGGTATATTTCATTTTTAATTGTGACATGCATAAGACTTTAAAGATTGATCATTGTTCTCTGATAAAGGGTTTCCCATGGCTTATTTTGACATATGGTATCAACTCCCCACGTGTTTTTTCCACCTATTCTTTCCAATTTCGTGAGAAATTTACATCAAGCACTCCTTATTTTAAGGACACTATCTACCATTATGGTAGGTTTCTAGTCAGCTTTAGAAGCCATTTGGGATCAGTAATTTTCTTTTCCGAGCATCATGTGTAACTTTGGAACGTGCATTCAATGAAATCCGTGCCAGTCAAATGGAATTGAAAAGTATTAGGCACATTGGATTTGATTTTTACTCAGAAAAGGGAAATGAAGGGTTGTCAAAGGGAGAAGGGGGTCCTGAGATTTTCAATCTATTGTTTAAATGGTTATATTGTGAAAATATAGAAGACTCTAAGCTTGTTTTTCTAAGTTTCCACCCTTTGTTAGAAGCGGTTCAATCCTGTTTCGGACCAGTTCTGGGGGGTGGTGAGGAGGGGCGCTTGTTCTGCTCTCAGCAGATTGGTTACACGCGTCAGGTGGTGGCGATGACTTAATTCCTAACCCAAGAAGAATATAATGTTAAAACTGGTTATGTAATTTTTGTGCTTCTCCTTTTTAATGCAGCATTTTGTTCAAATACTGACGATTTGTCACAAATAGAGGTACATTTTTGCCACATTTTTTATTTTCAATATATACATCTCCGGGGAAGTGCTAATTGAACTATGTGGCAAGTGTAGAAATGAAGTATGATTTGAGTTACAGCATTAATTTTTTTTAAAAAGGGAAATTAAGGTGGTCTCTTCTTTAATAGGGCTTTCATGATTTTACATATTGCATCCTGAAATAATTTATTAATCTCTCCAAGCAGTAACTCTAATACAAAATGTAAATGCCTAATGACAGTCCTGGTATTTGAGATTGTGTGTGTGAATCTTTCAGAAGATTGCAGCCTTTCATAAAATGGGTAGGAAGAAACAAAGGTTTTTCTTTAAGAAATTGAGACGTGCGATGCAAATTAGAACAATGACTATGGGGACAAACACAATTTTATTAGTTGCTTTATGATTTCTTGTTAAGGAAACTATGTGTACCAAACCCCATGAGATGCCCCTAACCCCCCTGCAAAGTGTGGACAAGCGCTTAGCCGGAATAGTTTCAATGACTTAAAACTGGGACCTCAAACTAGCCTGGTATCTGAGACCCCGCCTCGGGCGGCTAGCGATAGGCGGAGCCCGGTTTTGTTAGCCTGTTGCTAAGGCAATGCCAGGAGCTGATTGGATTGGGTGCGTGCGGGTGGGGAGAGTGGGCTTTGGGGCGAGGCTAGAAACCGGCGTGCGCCGGTAAAGGTCCCTCCTGAGCTGCCACCTCCGCCTCAGCTCACGTCCCTCCCGGGGCATTTGGAGCCCCACCGCCCCCGGGCCTGTGTTACGTCATGTTCTCATCCTTAGCTTCGGCTTTTGGGGCACCAAAAAAATAAATTCCGGCTTCATCAGACCAAGGGAAGAAGCTTCCACTGGCCTAAAAGATGCCAAACGCAACTTTTGCTGGAAATTCTACTCAAGGTTGAGTGGCAGAGTAGCAGAACCCCATTTTTAAGTGCAAGTGTCATGCGGCTTCTGTGAAAGCGGCTGTTTTCTTCTAAGGTGAAGCAATGTGTATTTATTCCCCCAAATACTAGGTCAGCTACCTAGATTTGACTGGAGGGGAGGAATGGCAAAGGTTGGCCAATAACAGCTATGTTCCTAGCATCGAAATCTGGGTGAGGGCCTTGGCCAGTCTTCGGTCCCACAATTGTTTCTCGTCCCACCCCCACTCCTCCTCCTTAACCACTCCAGTTTCCCCGCTGACTGCAAAGGTGTCCGGGTGGCCCAAGCCAGATCGAACCGGTCACAGGCTGGGGCGTGTAAAGCGGAAGCGCCGTCGCGCACTCGCCCCGCCCCTGTTGAGCAGGCTAGGCTGCGCGCGCGCGCGACATATGCCGTATGTATAGCGCGCGGACGGCGGCGGCGGCGCGCGGGCGGGCCGGCTGGGATCTGCTCGCGCCGGTTTAGGCCGGTCCTCTCCTGCTCCGGTCTAGTTCTTGATTGACAGCCCTGTACTTGTTTACCACTGCGCCTCCGCCGCGGCGGCTCTCAATGAGACTGCTGAGCTGGCACAAAAAGGAAGCAAGGAGGGAAGAAAGGGGAGGAAGGCAAACTTAGAGAACCTTTGAGGGGAGACAATTTAAACGGATGCCAACTCACTAGCCAGTTTTTGGTGCAGGAATCCTGTGAGAAGATTTGCGCAGGGGACGATGAAAATAGTGCTTAGGTGTAAACGAATCACCATGTTTTTTAATAAAACCTGTAACAGAAGCATCACAGTTTTCCTATTTTGTACATATTCGTATTTTCTGGGTGAAAGTTAAAGGATAAGGACTAGTTTTTCTTCCTCTCGTGGTTAACTGTAAAGGTTTCTATCTTGAGAAAACTATATATGAGTCAAGCGCAGAATGCAAACTGTCTTAAACATCTGGAACCCCTCCCAACATTTTCGATAGCATGTATGTTCGTGTCATTAAAAAAATACAGTATTCAACCACAAAAATTGGCTATAAAATGGAAGATCATCTCTTACTGTAGCAATTAGAAAATCTTACTAGACTTCATTTTTTAAAGGGTGTGGAACAGTGTTTGCCTGTAAACAGGCACCCTTTAAATGCTATCCTTTGTAGCTGACTTACATTTGTATATATGCAAATTTTTAGTTGTAGCTAGGAAACACATGAAGAAACTCCTTAAACATTTACATTTTAGATGCAATAAATTTTTTATTTCAATTATGAAATTGACAATGTCACTCCTTTTTAAAAATCCAACATCTATTTAAGGGAAAGTTTTATAGGAATTATAACGTGTATTATGTGAACATCTTTGATATCATTTCCCCGAAACTGATCATTTTTTTAAAGTTTACATGAGCAGTTTTAATTTTAAGCCTTATGGTTGTAATATGATACATTTAAGTAAACAGGTGGAGACAAAGATAACTATGTGATCTGAAATCCTGAACCTTTTGTTGAGCATATACTAATACTAGACACAGGTGATTTAGGATTTTGGTTATTTCCATTTTTTAAGATACGTTTATGGGATGGAAGTATTAATTATCCCCATTTTACAACTAGGCAGATGAAGGCTTTAAAATGATGAAGTTGAGATTAGAACTCAACTGTCAGACTCCAAAGCTTATGACTTGTTATAGAAGCATAATTAAAAATTTGTGACCATGAGGACTTTATAAAGGTTTAATTAAACATGCCTTTTGCTTTCCTTTTCTTTTAGATGATGATAATTCTGAAGAAGGCTTCAACACTATTCATTCAGGAAGGCATGAATATGCATTCAGCTTTGAGCTTCCACAGACGTAAGTATATAGTAATAAGAGTGTTGTTTCATAAAGATCCAAAGTCAAAAGCACTCTTTGGAAATGAAATATTTTAAATTTAAATATTTTTGGTTTAAAAAAAAAAAAACCCTTTTCATTACTGGAACGTGTTAGAGAAGAACAATATCTTAAACTTAAGAAGCTATTTTTTAATCTTTGTGGCAAAATTACAGAATATAAGCTCAATTATGAGTGCTCTGTTCCAAGGTTTATGAGGATTTTAAAACAAATAGTGTTTTCATTTAGCACAAGTGAGTTCTGGTACTAGTCAAATAGCAAACAATTAAGTACTTAGTGTATTATCACTTAGCATCATGAGAAACTGTTGTTGTTGTTAATTGCAGACAGTTGGTTGGGACCCATAGTGACCTTGTATAGTGTTTCCAAGGAGCTGCTGGTGAGCTTCAACCACTGACCTTGGAGATCAAACCGACTTTGCAGTCAACTGCATTAACCCACAGCAACACAATAGAACTCTGTTCGAAAACGTAGAATACGTCCAACCTTTCATTCAGTAGTTTCAGTGTAAACAAATTGTGTTCCACTTTTTCTGCTAATGCTACCCGATTAACAGTAAGTTTGGAAGGTTAAAAAAATTTAGAATTATCCTGAATTTAGAAATAATCTTCCTTTGATAAAAATTCAAAAGCTTCTATGCAGTAAGCTATTGAGGAGGTCACACAAGAGATAATACAACTTGACCTTAAAAACAAACATCCATCAATGATATTTTTATGTAAGGCTGGGTTGTAAGGTAGTATGAAAGGAATATGGTGCATTCTTAATGTAATAGTGCATTGTTGGAAGAGATTATTCAGGCTTTATTCTATAATTCCTTTAATAGATTTAAAAACCTTCAAGGTGACACTTGTACTGATTGTTTTAGAGGATAAACAGATTGCATAAGAATGTATCAAGTCCCAAAATGTACATAATTCTGCATTTGTTAATTTTATAAATGGTATCTTACAGACTATTCTATTTATGGATATTACTTGAGAGTCTCATTTTGAATATAGTGTCCTAATCTGCTTTCTAAGAGAAATCCTTTAAGTCTGTAGATAAAGTGCCATTGAGTCGGTTCTGACCAATAGCCACCCTGTATAGGGTTTCAGAGGAGCGACTGAGCTTGAACCATTGACCTTCTTGTGGCTCAAACTGACTTTGCAGTCCAAATGCATTAATCCACAGTGCATTGGGCTTGAATATTTTCAAAAGATGTGGACAATTTAGTTTTTTTGGGTTTTTTTGATATTATATAATTCAAATCATTTAACAAAAACTTTGGAAGACTACCATAAAGCTTTAAGATTCTAGAAGAGATTCTATATTTTATTTCTCTGCTATACAAAGTTATGTCAGAGGTAATAAACTCTAGAAAAGTATTTGTAAAAATACCACTATATACTACTCTTATACTAAGCTAGCATGCTACCTTTTAAAGAACTAAACACAGTATGTTTTTCTAAAAAAATTATTTAAAAGACATCCCCTAAAATTAGACCCTGTACAAAAATAGTATCTAAGTGAATTGAGAAGTGATTAATCAGTACATTTATTTATTTTTATTTTTATATCTATAAAATAAAGTTACAGAACTTGACCAGAGAAGGAGAACACGTGTAAACTGAGAAATGTGTAAAAGCAGTTTTTCAGATTTGTGGAATTATGAAAAATGAAATTTTTGAAACTGTAATGACTATTTTAGGTCTTTTGTTGTTATTGTTGTTGTTAGAGCCATCAAGTCAGTTTTGGCTTTTCGAGTCAATTTTGGCTTATGGCAACCCTGTATAGAGGGTCTGAGTAATGACTGGTGGGTTTGAACCACCAACCTTGAGGTTAGCAGTTTAGTGCTTTCCCTACAATACTGCACCAGGACTCCAGTCCTTTAAATTTTCATAATTAGTTACTATAGAAAGAGGTAATAGTTTCTAACAAATGAAGAGTAGAACACTACAAGGAATTACGTCTGAGTGTTTTAAGAATTATCTAGAGTTAGTTTCTCAATAGAGATAGTTGAGTCATTCTTAATTTTATTTTTAAATTAAATTCTTGATTTTTAAAAAGAATTGTTCATTTCTAATTGTTCTTTCATAATTTTGCCACTAGCATTAATTATAGCCTCTTGGTTTAAAGGAATTGTATTCTTCTTGCTTTTTAGTAAAATTTCTATAATAATTATTTATTATATATTGTTGCTTGAAAACAATTTTTTCCCCAATGACTTATCCCTTTGGAAACTTAAAAAAAAAAAAAAAAATAACTGTTGGATACCTCATTGGTACATAAGCAGTCCAAAATATTAATGCATATGCTTACCTACTGTGTAATTACTAGAAGGAGGTATAACATTAATATATTGACCTTTATATTCTGCACAGACCACTTGCTACCTCATTCGAAGGCCGACATGGCAGTGTGCGCTATTGGGTGAAAGCCGAATTGCACAGGCCTTGGCTTCTACCAGTAAAATTAAAGAAGGAATTTACAGTCTTTGAGCATATAGATATCAACACTCCTTCATTACTGGTAAGAATTGACTGAATTCTTCATTCTTTGTTTATGGCATATGGATACAAAAGAATAATCACTTAAAACTATGCAAACTTTATAGTTTTAAATTGTGGTTTTATTTTTAAATTTTTCAAATATCAAAAGTACACAGATTAATGGCAAACACTCTCAAATTTCTGCTATTATAGTAACTTTAAATAAATTTTAAAAGTAAGGCAAGTATATTGTATAAACTATCTCTGACTCAGAAGATAGCAGCAATAACAAAAAATAGATCTCTTCCCTGGTTAATTTTGGTAGAAGAGGAACTAGTTATATTCCTATTATTAAAACAATATCACTTAATTTGAAGATAATATAAAATTTGTACTGCATTGCTTTATTCCAATATAGGGATAGTTGTCAAATGTTGGGGAGATTTTATCACTCTTATGGAAAAAATTTGATTCCTTTTTTAAAGGAAATTTTTTTAAAGAGATGAGTTCAAATTTAGCTTCGAAACATTTGGTTTAAACAAATGATAACATCTTTAAAGCAAACAAGAATTAATCTTGAAAATGAACAGTTTTCCCTTTTTTTAATACTAATTTTTCACATTCTTAAAGATGTCACCATTTGGAATTAGAACCAAGTTTCTTTCTATGCTGCCTTTTTATAAGGTAGTTTAAAAGGAATTGTGGAAAGGGTTTTTTTTTGTTGTTTGGTGGTCCATTTGTTTTGAATTACTGTATATGTAAAAAAGTATGGGGTAAAAGTATGCTTATGGGATATGATATTAAACCCTGTAGCCCTAATAAAAAAGATTAGGCTAAATAGATATTTATATTAAGTTTCATTCAGAAACAATTTGATGATAATAACAATATATTTATCTTCAGGGAAGAACAATAAATAAATGCTTTTAGTTTTAGATTCTCCAAGAATGTAGCATTGTATTTTTAAATGTTTTGATATGTTCAAATCTACACACTGATCTTTTTCTTTAAATTTGTTTCTTACAGTCACCCCAAGCAGGCACAAAAGAAAAGACTCTCTGTTGCTGGTTCTGTACCTCAGGCCCAATATCCTTAAGTGCCAAAATCGAAAGGAAGGGCTATACCCCAGGTGTGTATGAAATAAGAGTCCCATGAAGAACAACTGTTCTTCATTTAGCTTTTGTGTGTAAATTTATGCTATTGCTACAAAATACAAACATAATACATTATTCTACAGTAATATAAAGTAAGTTATACTTACTCAGTTTTATTTATAATTGAAATATAATCTCTTCAAATAGGTAATATAATTGTGTAGTTAATTTTTGTAGGTCTAGTTACTTACATTCTTAGTGCATATAATATTATCCATTTAGTCTAGTGAACTTTCTAACATTAAGAATCTACATTTGTTTTCTATTTGTATGTTGTGAAAATTATATACAAGTATACATTCACAAATACAACAATTTCTACACATTTGCATTTTAACAGATTTTTAAAATTCATTCTATAGGTGAATCAATTCAGATATTTGCTGAGATTGAGAACTGCTCTTCCCGAATGGTGGTGCCAAAGGCAGCCATTTACCAAACACAGGCCTTCTATGCCAAAGGGAAAATGAAGGAAGTGAAACAGCTTGTGGCTAACTTGCGTGGGGAATCTTTATCATCTGGAAAAACAGAAACATGGAATGGCAAGTTGCTGAAAATTCCACCAGTTTCTCCCTCTATTCTTGACTGTAGTATAATTCGTGTGGAATATTCACTAATGGTATGTAAAAATTTAAGGATGATTTTTAAATCTTAAAGTTACAAAGATATCATTTTGTTTTAAATCCAAAATTTGGATATTATATTTCCTTGTGTATGTATATTACATATATATGTGTGTATGTATGTTGTTAAGTGCCGTCAAGTCGATTCTGACCCATAGAGACCCTGTATAGGGTTTCCGCAGAGCAACTGGTGAGCTTGAACCACCAACCTTGCAGTTCAAATGGCTTTGCAGTCTGGCGCATTAACCCACAGCACCACACCAGGACTCCATATATATGTATGTGTGTGTGTGTGTGTGTGTGTGTGTGTGTGTGTATATATATATATGTAATTAAGTGCCATCAAGTTGATTCCAGTTGGTAGTGACCCTGTGTTGTATTTCTGAGGCTGAAACTCTTTGTAGAAGAGTAAAGCCTCATCTTTCTCTAAGCCACAGCAACTGTTTGTTAAGTGTCGTAGAGTCAAATCTGACTCATAGTGACACTGTATAGAGTTTCTAAGAAGCAGCTGGTGAGTTTGAACTGCTGACCTTGTGGTTCATAATCCGGTGCTGATCCTACAGCGCCACACCAGGAGTCCCTACAATACTACTACTATATATGTGTGTGTGTGTGTGTGTGTGTGTATGTGTATATATATGATTTGGCGCTGGACTGTTAAACACTAGGTCGTCTATTGTTCAAATCCACCAGCCACTCCTGAGAAACTCTATATAGGGTCACTATTGAATTGGTACTTACTTGATGGCTCTTAATAGCAAGTATAAATTATAATTACTAATAATTCCTCATATATATACTACCGTATAATGAAGAAAATAATCTTGTCTATTACATGTATCAAAATAGATAAATAAATAATAGTCTCAAGTAACATTAAAATTGAGTTATTTGTTTTTAGAAAGATTACTAATACTTGGTATTATAAATCTACTGTATTCTTTCCCACTGTAGGTATATGTGGATATTCCAGGAGCTATGGATTTGTTTCTTAATTTGCCACTTGTCATCGGTACCATTCCTCTACATCCATTTGGTAGCAGAACCTCAAGTGTAAGCAGTCAGTGTAGCATGAATATGAACTGGCTTGGTTTATCCCTACCTGAAAGACCTGAAGGTAATTTGATAATCATATTTAAACCAATCTCCTTGTTATTTTTATTTATTTTTAGAATGTAGTTTTGCTTCTGATATTTTTAATCCTAGATAAGCGTTTGTATTTTCCTAAAAAGGAGAGTAATGTGCCCCTAATATACCATTTAAAATAATATGTTACCCTAATTTTAATCACCAAGCAAATACTTACTATTTTACTATGACATTCCTTTTTAATACCTGTTATTCTGTATATTTTGACATGCATAAGAACATGCTGTTCGAATTGCGTGTATCTTTTTCCTACAGCACCACCAAGCTATGCAGAAGTAGTAACAGAGGAACAGAGGCGAAACAATCTTGCACCAATGAGTGCTTGTGATGACTTTGAGAGAGCACTTCAAGGACCACTATTTGCATATATCCAGGAGTTTCGATTCTTGCCTCCGCCTCTTTATTCAGAGGTAAGCACCAAGCCGTTAAAGGATGAACTAGGCTGCTTCTCTTGGGGAATAACATTGCACTTTTTCTTTTTTTGTTTTTTTAATATAGTTATACCTTAATTATTGGAGTTTTACTGTGGCACTGTAGGTAAGCACTAGACTGCTAACCACAAGGTCAGCAATTCAACCCCACCAGCTGCTCCTTGGAAACCCACCCTCTACAGGGTCGGTATGAGGCAGAATTGACTCAAGGGCATTTGACAACACTTTGCTTATTTTGATGACAATAATACAAAAGCAAGTAATCTAAAACAACAGAGAAAAATTATTTAAAGATTAGGGATATCAATATTTACTGGGTTTAATACACTGATAGTACTTTTCAGTTATATTACTGAGGAAACCGGATAATGATCTAACCTTATGGTGAATTACTTACATAATTTTGAAGAATTCCTATTTCAAACCACTGGTAGAAACAGTATTTTGCAAGAGTTGATATAGCTAGAATTTATCTTACTTATGGTTCTTTTTCACTTTAATTCTTGTATATTTTAACAATCATAGGGGAAAATACCATATTTACAATAACATCTTTAAAATATCCCTGTGCTGTTAGATTGGGAGCAAGGTATTTCCATAGGGATAAGCACTGGACTGCTAACCGCAAGGTTGGCAGTTTAAATCCACCAGTGTATCCACAAGAGAAAGAAGAGGCTTTCTGCTCCTGTAAGTATTTAAAGCCTCAAAAACCCTATACAGGGTCATTATGAGTCAGAAATGACTCGACAGCATTTGACAACAATATATGAGATGTTGTTAAGTACTGTTGAGTCGATTCTGATCCATAGGGACCCTGTATAGGGTTTCCAAGGAGCAGCTGGTGAGCTTGAACCACAGACCTTGCAGTTCAGGTTCAAATAACTTTGCAGTCTGACGCATTAGCCCACAGCGCCACACCAGGATTCCGTATGAGATATATGAGAGTATTTGCACTCATTTCGTATTAGTGGTAAATAAGCACTAATGTGAATGAATAACCATGCCCCTTATTTGGGAAAAGCTTATGGACTAGTGAGAAAAGCAAACTTAGAAGCAGATTATTGCACAGAAATGTGGTAGTTATAGGTATACACAGTTCATTTGAGGTGCAGTTTACTGGGCCTTGGGAAACAGAAGGGGATTCCCTGAGGAGGAGGTAGCTATTAACAAATGAATAGTCCTTAAAGGGTACAACAGTCTAGACTGAGAAAACAACATGTATAAAAATAAAAGCAAGGAGGTGGGACAAGAGAACACAGCAATTAAAGGAAATTTCAGAATGTATGTATATAAAGAGTACACATCTTAAGGGACTTTGAAGTTTTGTTCCAATGTTTTTGTTTGAAGCTGGATCATTTTTATTACAACGTTTTTGTCTTGTGTATAAAGTCAGTCATTTCTGTTTGATTTGAGGCATCTGGCTACTCAAGACATTTTAAATGACTAGCAATCTAAGTTTTATTAACTTTTGATGTAAAATTATTTTCAAGTGATCTAAGGTGATTAAGAAAATTAAAGTTCTAAAACCCTAAAGTAAGAGTAGGGTATGATTTAATTTGTTAGCACTGAGCCAGATAGAGGGCAAAAAGTTCTATATTGTTGTAAAGGGCCATCAAGTTAGTCCTGACTTGTAGTTACCTTGTATAGGATTTCCAAGGAGCAGCTAGTGGGTTTGAACTGCTGACCTTTTGTTTCGAAGTCTACTGCTGATCACATAGTCTCACCAGGAGTCCATTCTTTGAAAGATAGTTATCAAAAACCAGAAAGGTGATTTGGCTTTTTTTTTTCCTTTATTTTACTTAAAGCTTTTGAAGGACTTTGAACTACCCTTCATTTAAATTCAGGTGGATGATTCTTGTCCAAAAGATCCTACAGTAAAAGTGTTAAACCTAAGAATTTGCTTTTCTGCCCACTTACTTTGTTCCTGAGAAGCAACTATAATATATTGACTTTCATAAATGTGTGTGCACTACAGATATAACAGCGTCTCAGCATTTTGGGTTCAACATTATTATTTTCTGATATACATTATATATGGTGGTGGTGGTTATGTGCCATGGAGTCGGTTCCAACTCATAGCGACCCTGTGTAGGGTTTCCGAGACTGTAAATCTTTACGGGAGCAGAAAGCCTCATCTTTCTCCCATGGAATGGCTGATAGTTTCTCCAACTGCTAACCTTAAGGTTAGCAGCCAGACTCGTAACAAATATGCTACTGGATTCGTAACCACTACGTTCCATTACATATGTTGTTGTTGTTATGTGCCATGGAGTTGGTTCCGACTCATAGCAACCCTTGTACAGGGTTTCCGAGGCTGTAAATCTTTACAGGAGCAGAGCGCCTCATCTTTCTCCCTCGGAGCAGCTGGTAGTTTCGAACTGCTGACCTTGTGGTTTGCAGCCCGATTCGTAATCACTACGCTACCAGAGCTCCTTCCATTACATATAGCGGTTTCAAAAGCTCATGGAAAAATTCCATTACGTTTTAAAGCCCCCTCATATTCTTCAGACTTTTCTGGGTTTTATACCCTGTCTCATAAATATAGCATCATTTATACAAATGTATTCTTTCTAAAGCTTCTAGAGATAATTGACTCACTTTCTAAAGGGGTGACAAGGATACTTTACAAAAGGAGATCATTGCTGTGATATATTTCTCACTATACATGTGAGTTTTAAATTACTAAGTGCTGACTAAAATTTTACATTTTCTGAAAAAATTTTACTATTGGCTGTTGGAGTCCTGGTGTGGCACTGTGGGTTAATGCGCTGGACTGCAAAGTCAGTTTGAACGACAAGGTGTCGGTGGTTCAAGCTCACTATCTACTCCTTGGGAACCCTATACAGGGTCACTATGAGTCAGAACCAACTTGATGACACTAAGCAACAGCGTTGTGAAATAGGAATTATTTGTTGTTAGTGCCATCAAGTCGACTCTAACTGTAGCAACCCTGTATAGGGTTTCTGAGGAGCAGCTGGTGGATTTGAAGTTCCGACCTTGTGGTTCGCAGTCCAGTGCTGATCCTACAGGGCCACACCAGGAGTCCTGGGACTATTTAGGCATACTCTAGAAATGCTATTGTTAGTATAATAATTGAATATCTGGCACTTCATATAGTGCAGCAACATCTTGTCTTTCCCACATAACATATCAGATATGAAAAGGGTTTAATTTGCTGCCAAACTCTTCTTTTCATGCTCATTCTCATTTGTTAACTGGTACTCAAACTTGCAGTTACTTGCTTCATGCTTACTAGATTTTATTATATATCGTGTTTTATTCTCATTTCTTTCTAGATTGATCCAAATCCTGATCAGTCAACAGAAGATAGACCATCATGTCCCTCCCGTTGAAGAAATACTTGTTTAAATCAAGTTGATGTGAGTTCCGAACTATATCTCTTCCTGGCTGAGGACAGAAGCAGTATCTTGGAGACACGTTTTCAGAGGAAGTGGAATTGCTTTTGCCCGGAAAAATGGCAACTACATGAAACAACCAGCAATCATGCTTTAGAAGCCTACAACAACATTCTGGGACTGCTCCAACATGCTTGAAGATCTAAGCTTTTCTCCTTTAAAACTGGCACATACTAAGAGCAGTCTTCTTAGCCTATGGTCATACGTGTTAAAACATCACGTTGTAAAAGAGGGATGATTTCCTTCTTTGACTTGAAATTTGCACATGCTCAATGCTTACATTGTGCGGTTCGATGTCACTACAGCTTTTTTTTTTTTTTTTTTTTTTTCCATTTATGCCAGACTCTTGATACTCTTTTAAAACTTGTTTGTGGTCAACACAACAAGGAACAAAAGAAAGCTTTGGAAAACTTTAACATGAAAAAAACGCACTGACATTTTTTTTAATTTAATATAGCCTGGACTTTACCTGCGTATGCACATGCTCAGAATTGTCCTACTAGGCTGACCATGTATCACCTCTTCAGCTTGGATCCTATTGTGGATTTATTTACAAACATCAAATGCCTTCAAGCCAATCCTTCTTGCTGTATGTTTTGCAGCCTACTGTAGTAGATAACGCAACAGATACGTGGGAAAAGAGATAAGAGGAGGAAGCTTAATAAGAGACTTTGTCAAGATTGTATACCTTCTTGATTTCTTTTAAGAATTTGTTGCCTTTCTACTATTACAGCAAAGCAACATTTTGTTACTGACTGCCTAAAATCACTTAATCTCAGGTGAACGCATCACTTGCCAAACTGTTGGAATGCTATTTGTGTTTTGTTGCACTGTTGAGTTTTTTGTTGTTATTGTTTGGTTCGCTTTTAGAGAGGGAAATTTGGAAAAGGGACATACACAAAAGTGATAACCCACCCACATTCCCTTTTTATCATTATACACATGAGAAGAAATTAGCAGAGCTAAGAATAAAGAAAGGCAGTATGGCAGGCACCAGCAGAGTTAAGGGCTGTTGCTCTTAGAAAATATTATTTTTATTGTTATTTAAAAAGTATGAACATTTAGCAGTCACTAGGGTTAGGAGGGAAAGTGCATTTATTTTTATAGAGAGTTACTTAATTACCTCCAAAACACATATGTTGGAAATCAGTTTTGCTGGTGGAAAGTGTTTAAATGAGCAGGAATTCGCTAAGATTATGACTAGAGAGCTCAAGTTATATGTTTGCTCTCCTGCTCAATCTTAACGGAACATGAGAAGTCTATGACTTCAAAATTAAAAATAGTAGAATATGTACTGGGATAATAACTTTTGTATTTTTGTGTTTATATTTTTTAATGAAAATATTTTTTTTTCCATTACCAAAAGAACATTTACTAGACATGAGAA